AAATAAATAAATAAAGAAAGAAAGAAAGAAAGAAAGAAAGAAAGAAAGAAAAGGAGAGGGAGAGGGAGGGGGGAAGGAGGAGGAGGGGAGGGGAGGGGGAAGGGAGGGGAGGGGGAAGAAAAGAAAATGTATCAAAGAAATGTAGCTATCTATGTCACTTGAACCCTTCCTCCTTGAAAGATTAAAAGTGTTCCCAAGGATGCCCCTCTTCACAATCTACGCTTTCCTCGCCAGCAGCCCCCATCACCTCTCCTGCTCATCATCCTCTTTTATTTTCTTCATTGCACTATGACTCCCTGATGTTTCCCTCTTGCATCTTCTTATTGGAGCACATCCACTAGAATGCTGGCTTCCTGAGGACAGGATCCTTATCTATCCACTTGCCCATCACTATCCTAGAGCCCAGATCTTTCCTGGCAGGGAGCTGGATAATAAAGCTTCAGCCAATGAATTGACCCCATCTGTCCCCCCACCCGCTGAACCTCTTACCTCTCGGATCCTCTTCTGCCATTCCTCTGTGAACTCAGGTGAGCTGACATTCACCTGGCTGGCATTGAGTGTCCACTCTGGGCACTTCCAGGATGGAAGAGATAGCATGGCCAGAGAAGGCGCCACAAAACCCTGGAGAATCAGCAACCTGGAGGAGCGGGAGGATGCAGTCACTTCCTGAGACCTTCCCCCACAGGCCTTTCCCTGACCCAGAGGGGCCTTTTGAGCCCAAGTTCTAGCTCAGCAGAGAGGCCAACACAACCCCTGCTCTCCCCAGTTTCAGGGAACTCCTGCCAAGCTCCAAGGCAGACTCAGGAACACTCATGTCAAACTTTGGACAGGTAGAAAAGGTGGGCTGGGGAAAGACCACCATACCCAACCCCAGTATGGAGATGCCAAGCTAGGAGGGAGCCAGGTGTGGTGGCACACGCCTGTAATCCTAGCAACTTGGGAGGCTGAGGCAGGAATATCCCAAGTTCAAAGCCAGCCTTAGCAATTCAGTGAGGTCCTAGCAACGTATCCAGATCCTGTCTTGAACACACTTAGTGGGGCCATTCTCCTCTCCCCACCCTGAAGCTAGCTCCAGACAGTCCTGCCCAGACCCCAGATCACAGCACAGCTCACTCCGTTCCTTCTCATGCTCCCTAGGTTACTCCCATGTAGACATTTTCATAGCCTAAAATATGGGTTTCCACATCCCCTTTTGTCCTCAGAAATCAAGGGCAATCCTGTTATGGGCCAGGCTATATGGGAAATAACAAGTCTCCATGTTACCCTGAGACTCCATGTCATATAAGAAATGCTTCTCCCATGGGAACACTTCCCCCTCTGTACCTGTTAAGAGTTGCTTAGCAGAGCATATTTGGCAACACAAAATGGCAATACTTATACAATGTAAAATTGTTCTCTCTTTGGTTCCCATTTGTCTTGGACAGTGTACCCTGTCAGAGATTTATTGTCTAGATGTTAGTAACCATTAGTTGTGCTCACCTAGTGTGATTTTGACCCACTTCCTTTTACTTGCTTGCTGCAATGCCAACTGGAAAGTCCCACAGGAAATGCCAACATTCCCATCACATTGTTTAACTAGCGGCTCCTTCTGTACCCCTGCTTGCTTGCAGCTATGTTAACCCAGATGTGGTTTTTGCCATTAAAGATCCTGAAATGCTCAAGCTCGAGGCTGTTCCTTGCAGAGAGAGTTATGGGTCAGGGGGATGCTGATCTCTAGTGATCACTTCTCTGTATGTACATAGCCTTTGTCCTCATAAGCTAAGTATTTATGATGCCCTCGGTGATTCCTTTACTACTTTATGATTATGCTCACAATCCACTGTGTGCACTGGCCCCTCTTGTCTTAGCCACTTCTGTATTACTGGGCTCCACCAGGGCAGGAATTCCCTCATTCTCACTTCCTTGCCTCTAATGCTGAACTTGCTGCCACTGATATCAGCATTGGGGTTTTCTATCATTTTTTTCTATTTTTATAGGCATACAAGGAAACCCCAAACGTTAATTTGCACTTCATTAGGCCATGAAAGATGTGCTTCATTCATGTGACTTTATGTCTGTCCAAATATTGGTACCTACTGCCCAAATTCATATATTGAAACGCTAGCTCAAATTCACGACATTTGGAAGTAGAGCCTTGGGAGGTATTTAGGTTTAGATGAAGCCGTAAGAGTGAGGTTCCCACAATAAGATTACTGTCTTTATGAGCAGAGAAAGAGAGATGAGAGCTCTCTTTCTATAGGGTGGCCATCTATAAACTAGGAGAGGGCCCACACCAGAGCCCAACCACGCAGACGCCCTGATCTGGGAAATTCAGGCCACAGAACTATGAGGAAATATATTTGTGTTGTTTCAGCCACATAGTCTAGAGTTTTTTGTTATGGTGTGTTGAGAGCCACAGCCAAAGGGGCCCCAGGAAACTTCCAGCTGATTGGCTCACAGTAGCCATAGCAAACTTCCAGCTGGTTGGCTCACCGTGGCCCCAGCAAACTTCCAGCTGCCAGCTGATTGGCTCCTCTGCGGTGATGCTCAGTGGGCTGTTTCCCCGCCCTTTCAGACCATGGAGCTGCTCATTGGGGGACTCTGGCTCTGCCCACACAACCCAGCCAATAAGCCTCAAGAGCGGGAGGAGTGGGGGTTGAGAGGCTCGTCAGAAGCTAGTGGTGGCAGTTGGGCTCTGAGCGAATTCCTGAAGAGCTCGTGTGGTGTGGTGTGTGTGTTCTAAAAATAGACTTCGTTTCTGCTTGACAAGTGGCTTGTGAATTGTGCCAGTTGGACTGCAGCATTTGGTGGCCCACACCGGGAATGACTGAGGGTAAGTGATAAGGTAAACTGCTCGCCCCTGATAGCAGGGCGAGAGGATGGGTAGCCATTTTAAGATTCTTCTTTCATTTTGTTTCTCTTTTGTTTTAAGTTGCCTGTCCCTGGAGATGGGTGAGACAAAAGAAAAAGCATTCACATCTGAGGAAAAACTATTTGCGTTTGAGGAACAGATAGGGAGAAAGGACGGATGGATATTTCAGGAGGATAGAATGGCTGATATAATGAATTTTTTTTCCATTTTTGTTTCATTCTATTTCGGTTTTGTTTGGCGTTATCTTGTTGGGTTGTGTTATAGTAGAAATATGAGATCAGAAATTAGTAAAACACAAACCAAAAAAGTATTAAGAAAATTGCTAGAGGAAGGAGGCATCTCAGTAAAATCAAGAACAGTCAGGGCATACGTTGATACAATACAAAAATGTAGCCCATGGCTTTTTAAGGAGGAGTTGTTAAATATATCACAATGGAACCATCATGGTGAATATTTAAAAAGAACAGAAAAAAAAGCCCATGAACTCTGCCAGTTGGCACACTGCCATTGTGGACGTTGGTATCTTGTTTGCTTAGTCCAAAGCCTTCACTTCAGACAATGGTAGAGGAAGGAGAAGACATATTGATTCAAGTAAAAGAGAAGGTCTCTCAAGTTAGTCAGAGAGGAAAAAATTCAAGTAAAAGAGAAGGTCTCTCGAGCTAGTCAGACGGGGAAAGAAAGTTTAGAGCAGAAAAAGCCATCAGGGGAAAAGTTACAACAGGAGACTGTTACTAACACCCTTCTATCACCAGAGGGCATAAGTGTCCAACCAACAATGCCACCTCCATATGCTGGGAGGCCCCCAATTTTCATAGTTGATAGATGGGATCCTGAGACAGGACCTCAAATATTAGCATGCCGCATATTTGAGCAGGCAGGAGGGCAGCGAATTCACCATGCTTTAGATTTCAAAACAGTGAAGCTGCTAAAAGAGGCTGTAACAACATATGGTCCTCAAGCACCCTTCACTGTAATGGTGGAACTCATTACCAACTTGAACATGACGCCAGCAGATTGGACTAGTATGTGTAAAGCTGTGCTAAATGGAGGACAATACCTGTTATGGAAGGTTGCCAATAAGGAATTTTGCAAGGAGACGGCTAGGCAAAATGTAGCAGCTGGTTATCCTAAGAGAAATCTAGATAGTTGTTAGGAAAGGGACCTTATGAGGATCAGCAGCAACAAATTGCATATGATCCTGCCATATACTTACAAATTGCTATAGATGCGGTTAGAGCATGGAAGACTTTACAAGGACATGGAGGTTTACAAGGTCAATTAGCTAAGGTAATACAAAGAACTAATGAACCTTATGCTGAATTTGTAGATAGGCTTATTCAAACAGCTACCAGAGTTTGGGGGAATACAGAACAAGCAATGCCATTAATAAAACAACTGGCTTATGAGCAAGTGAATCATTGGTGCAGAGAAGTCATTAGACCATGGAAACATGAAGATTTAAACACATATATTAAATTATGTAGAGACATTAATGAACAAGGGCAAGTCTTGGCAGCTACAGTACAACAGGCTTTAGATGCCAGGCCAAAAACATGGTACAATTGTGAACAAACAGTACATTTTAAAAGAAATTGCCCTATAGGAGGAGAGTTTAACAAAACTAGGTATCAAAGAGTAGAATACCGGGTATTTGCCCACGATGCCATAGAGGGAGACATTAGGCTAATGAATGCCATTCTCAAACCACCATAGAGGGTACTCCATTATCAAAAACTGAAAAAGGACCAGGTATCTATCCAATATGATGGAGAAAGGCAGCGGGCTCCATTGCCAAACAATGGACAGGGGGGCCCAATGCTCTGGGGCCCATGACCACAAATAAACGGGACACTGGAGGAACCTAGCAACACCATCAGGGTAGTGCCCAGGACAAATTATCCATTAGATCCCTCACTAGACAAACCAGAGGAAGCGCAGGATTGGACATCTGTGCCTCCGCCAGAACAGTACTAACTCCAGAGATGGGAGTTCAAATTATTCCCACAGGGGTTAAAGGGCCTCTTCACAAAGGAACAGTAGGCTTATTATTGGGATGCAGTTCTTCTACACTAAAAAAAATTATGATAAGTCTTGGGGTAACTGATCCCAATTATGAAGGTGAAATAAAAATATTATACCTAGTTCTAAAGAGGTATATCAGTAATTTCACCAGGAGATAGAATAGCACAGTTATTAATAATACCCAGCTTGCATGATAAATTTTGGAGTCATACTGTAGAAAGAGGTTCCAGGGGATTAGGCTCCACAGGTGTAGATTGGGCTATGCTGCTTTAAATTTAGATTCTCACCCAATGATAAAACTAAATATTCAAGGACATGAATTTAAGGGGCTACTGGACACAGGTACAGACCTTAGCATCACATCTCGTCAAGAATGGCTGAAACATTGGCCATTACAACAGGCCACTCAAATAATTCAAGGCCTAAGAGTAGCAACTAATCCCCATAGAAGTGCAATGGTATTAGATTGTAAGTATCCTGAAGGATGTGAAGGAACTATACAGCCATATGTATTAGATCAGCTTCCTATAAATTTATGGGGACGAGATGTCCTAGATCAATTAGGTTTGACATTAACAAATAACATTAATCCAAATGTGCCCACGATTAGGGATAGACAAGGTTTTAGGAAAGCAAAAATATTAGGAGAACAAGAACAAGGTATAGCAGCACCAATTCAAATAGATGAAGGAATAAATAGACATGGATTGGGTTTTCAGAAGGAGTCACTGAGACAATAAAAATTACTTGGAAATCAGAAAGAC